TATAAAAAGCATGCTGGCTAATAAGTACTGCAGTTTGCTTCTGTTTTTCCCTGCCATGCTGTAAAAATCAGACAAGATGCAGCAAAGCTTAATATGCTTCTGTGGAACAGAAGTAGCATGGCCCTAGACCTCCTTTGAGATGTTTGACTCTATGGTTACCTTACTTGTTCCTTCCCAGGGACTATCTTGTTTTTGAATCTGAACCAAACAGTGATAGTTTTGGGCATTAGAGGTACCAGCTAATTGCTGTTGTTTCTGTGCTATTAGTTGTTTAATTCCCTGCATTTTCATTAAATGCTAATGAGGCTCCCCCTCCTCAACAACATGGGGACAATAGTTCCTTAGAATCTGATAAAGTTCTTCCCTTGGTTTCTTTTTTTTTCATTTGTAACTTAGACTCATCTAATTGTTGCTGCTCCATAAACTTTATGTGAAAATAAATTGAATAATGGAAAAGCTAAAAAGATTCCGGTTTGGAAGGGATTATATCCTGCAAAAGAAACACTGGCACAGAGTATTTTTCGTAGGATTGTGGCAGATCCATGCATGTATTTGTGTGGGATTTTTGTCACCCAAACATATACTGACACTTGTGTGCATGTGAACCTGAAAAAAAAAATAGGGAGAATATGGTGGTGGATGTTCCCATTGTCCCAAAACACCATGCCCCAGCTTCCTGTGTTACCGGAAAATCACCAAAATTCATGACCCCTGTCCTTTTGGAGAATAAAACAAATGATCAGAGATAAACAGTTTGAATAGTTGTGGTTACAAAAAAGTAGAAGCCCCAGCAGCAGGGGGGAAAAGTTAAGACTAGAAGGAAAAAACGATAGACTGATTCTTGAGGACCTTTACCTTACAGTTTCCTTCCACATACAAAGCACACATTCTGCAACTGAATTGTGTCACTATCCTTATGTGAAGAAGTATTCCAGATTAGCCATATTCACATGAAGGAATTCTGAAAAACCTTCTTGCAGCTTCAGTTTTGTATAAATCAGCTGAATGAGGATGAACAAATACGTCAGTTTTGCTTTTTCTAACATACACATTTTCAGCATTTCAAGTCCATCCACCTCATAACAGCAAATTTGTGAATTTTGGTCAATTCCTAACTGAAAGAAGAGATGGCGAAGCAAGATATAATTCCCTCTAGTTTAAATATGGATAGTTGTGTGACTGAGAGACACAAACATTACTTGAACCTCCATTAGTAAGAAGATGTGGCTTTTCTGGGGGTGCAGGAGTCCCTGTCTGTTGCATATTGGGCATTTTACCACAGTTGCTTAATTCAGTCTTAAAACCAGCTCAGGACTTCCCCCTCTCCACTTTCTATGTGTGTGGCTGATGTTTCCATTTAAAAGTACTTGTTTTGTTTTGTCAGGTTGGGGATAGAATAGGCAGTTAATAGATTTGTGTTTAAGTTCCACATTGAAGTTAGACAAATCTACCACCATTCTGTCTCCATCTCAACCTTAATTTCTGGCTGTATGTTGAGTGAGCTCAGCAGCTGTCTTTGCCCTCTTTATCAGCTGTCTGGCATCTGCGAGTGCATGTATGCTCCCCCCCTTTATTTTCTGAAGAGTTTCAAGCATGATGTTTGCACACCAGTTCCTCCCCCACCTTCCACCTGTGTTGATTAACATCGTCTTTCTCCATCAGCTGAAGACAGAGCCTTTCAATGTTAACAGTTCCTCCTTCTCTCCTAGCACAGCATAGTAGTGACACCTGCTCAGGAACATTTGACTGATTCCTTTGAAAAGGAAATGCCTCCCACATTGTCACTGACTTCAGCCTCTCACCATTCTCTTATCTCTGAACTGACCTTCCTTGAGCAAAATGGCATTGGCAATTGTTAGCAGGCAGTGTTCACATCTGATGGGTTTGCACAGGGGTAGGGCAGCAGAAATCTTTTCTTGGAGCATTTGTTAAGGATGCCACCAACTGGAGAGTGGCAGTAATTTACATTGATTAAATGAGGGAGATCTGTAACCAGAATTACATGTCTTTTCCATCTGCAAGTCAACTGAAATGTATAGGATTCCCCTTTTCTACTGAAAGGACTACTGGAGACCCATTGAATCAATGGGGATTTGGCAAGTCAACTCTTCCATAAGTTCAATTAATTAAAACCAGCCTTCTCTAGTGGTGATTTACTTTAGTGTGGTGTGTTGCAACTAGAGTAGTCCCATTTGAATCAGATGAATTTGCAGAAGGATTGACTCATCAAATTATCCCTAATTGAGCGGGTCTACTGTAGTGTGACTCACTGTACTAAGCAACAGGATTTCAGCTGCTGAGTCTGAGGCCAGAAATGGATGTTAGAGACAGCCCATAATTAATGTTGAAAGCAACAACATCATCATAATAATCTTAGAAATGTAGAGCTGTAAGAGATTCTATGGAACATGAAGCCCAGTCCCTGTCAAGGAGGCATAGTTGGGAATCAAACTCCCAACCTCAGGTCCCACAGCCAGATAACTAAAAACGTTGCAAAATGGTGATTCTTTCCATGTTTGTGAAAGCTTGATTTCAAGGAATATTATGTTTAATTTCTGAAGACCACTCACCAAACAAGGTAAGCTAATTTATACTCCCAGAGCTAAGAAAAGTTCGTTCTGTGACACTCACACACTTATATGAGTTAAGAATGTCTCTCTTCCAGCCATAGACTAACTCCAGCATTTGTTCCTGGCCTCAGGTGATGTCAGATGTGAAAAATTATAGCAGACAATGTTTGATTGTGACACCTTGTTTTAGAACTGGGTAATCTTTCTTCTGTTGAAGGCCACGCTCTTGTTTTGTATTGTTAAGAAGGCAGAGATACTGAGAAAAGGAGGTCCTGTCAAAGAGCTGTCAAATTTCCCAAAGGATTAGCAGTGACACCCTCCTGCAAGGAGTAAGCATGTCCTTTTATATTGTAACTGAATTGGCAGCTAGCAAATACAGGATGGAAGTCTAAATGTGAATCCTGGACCATCAGTTTACTGTCTAAACTCCAGAAGAGTGGTGACCAATTGACAGATCACAGTTCATGGTTTAAGGGTTTTTAAAATTTTCCTGTTGAGTAGTGGCTCTACCAGATGGAAGCCAAAGTTAGCAAAAGCATTGTCCACAGTTTCTTGTAAGGAGAAGAAAATTGTTTTCAGGTGTTTTATAATTTAGAGATATATTCCCCCTTTTATGGAACTTTTATTTCACTAGTCTTGTGTATAACACCATGGTCATGCTTATTTTCGTTTTGGTTGATTTCATTATATAACATAACCACTTCAGACAGAGGGTAGTAGAGAAGCAACATATAATTCTGCCCTCAAAACTGCAATCTGGTGATTATCGTGCTTAATTACTTAGAATATGAGAGTTGGTCTGTCTTTTCCCATGCAAAACACAACATGCTTAAGTCTTTAATGACACATCTATAGAAATTGCTGAAAATAAAAACCCAGGAATCTAGCATTGTACTTGCAAATGTTTAATCTAACTATATATTCAAATCTACTCTAACCAGTTAATGTTGAATACAGTATCAACATACAAACAATAAGAGACAATTTTGTCTTAGTCACAAAACTAAAACAGTGAAGTGTACTAATCATTATCATATAAGAGCCTCGTAGGGCACAGTGGTTAAATTGCTGTACTGCAGCTAAAACTGTGCTCATGACCTGGGGTTCAATCCCAGGTAGCTGGCTCAAGGTTGACTCAGCCTTTTATCTTTCCAAGGTGGGTAAAATGAGGACCCAGCTAGCTGCAAGGGGGGTGGGGTGGGGTGGGTATGTAGCCTGCATGATTAACTTTTAAACCACTCAGAGAATGCTTGAAGTCCTGTGGGGCAGTATATATAAGCAGCACGCTTTTATAAGATACACAGGATTAGAATTCAAGGGGGCTGGGTTCAATTCCTCACTCAGCCAAGGGTATGGAACTAGTAAGCCAGTTCTTAAATATCTTACCTTGAAAGGCCCATAAGGGTTGGTATAAGTTGGTTTCAGTTTAACAACACATATGCAACAACATTCACCACCATTTAAAGAAAAAATATTAAAATGTTAGCAAATCTTAAAATCTCAAATATATTAAAACTCTGTTTGAACCACTGAATACCATATAACTCAAGCAGTTCTAAATCTCAGGTTGAACCAGATGCCACTGTAAATGTGCCTTTGTATTTACCATATTCATTTTTTAAAAATGCAAATAGCAGTTACTGAGCTATAGGCTCATAATTATTTAGGTTGCAGTAGTTAGGGAGGGAAAATAACTCTTTCCTCCCTTTGTATTTCTGATGAGAACAACTTCTTCAAAGCTGCTGTTTGCATTACAAGGAAGATTCTGCTAAGTATACCAGAAATTGGCACTTACATTTAAAAAATGTTTAAAGCACACGCACATTTAACATAATGTCTGATTTACCTGGATGTCTTTTCCTCCATTCTCTCTTTGTGGATTTTTTACTCTTTATCTCTGGTATGTAAGAGCTGTCTTCCGGGTGGTTTGTAGTGATCAACAGTCTTTTCTAGGGAAACACACATGGAGACAGTAGGAAACCTGGTCAACTTGTTATATGTGCCTGAGCGGGGTATTATTTATTTATTCATTTATTCATTTTATAAGCTACTAATTTTTGTGAATTTCTTTGAAAGACTACTTTCATTGTTCTTGTGAATATCTCTTAAATCTAGGTTATCATTAGCCTTCTTTTATGATGATATTTGATATCTGATAAACAGTGTGGTGTAGTGGATAGAATTATGGACTTGGATTTAAGAGGCCTGGGTTCGAATCAATCCAGCCATAGAAACTCACTGGGTGTGTGGCACAAACAACCTCTTAAATATCACTTACCTTGAAAGCCCTATTACAGTGACTATAGTCTGTTCCGACTTGTTGGCACATAGCAACAATGAATGATGATATTTGGAAGTAATTGTTTGGCTACTTTTTGTTAGAATTGTTTTACTTATATTCTTTAATCCTTTTTTTTTTCTTTTTTGGAGGGGTTCCAGCCAGATTTTCTCCAACACAAGATGGCTCTGATGACAGCCAGACCAGGAGTTTCATCCCATCTGCAACAACAGGGGCATTGCTTGCACACAACAACCTCGAAAATGGTGAGTCTACTTTGTCAAATCCTTTATAATTGTCTTGGTAGGATTGGGTTTTTTCTTGTGGGAGAGAAGAACCAAAGAGGACGGTTGTTTATTTTATGTATGGAATGATTAGCAGAGCTGTCTCTTAGTAGAGGTGCAGGATAGTTCAGCTCAGTTCCAGGAACATGGGCACAGTTGAGGCGTATAGGCAAGTGCTGAACATGGTGAAGTGGAAATAGTTTCTGGGATTTTAGGAAGCAGAGTGATGGTGGTATTTTCACAATGATCTATGTGTCTGCCTGAATAATGTACCCGTATTTGCCGGCGTATAAGACGACTGGGCGGATAAAACGACCCCCCAACATTTCCACTCAAAATATAGAGTTTGTTATATACTCGCTGTATAAGACTACCTCCTCTTCCGCACACCTTCCACACACTAAATAAAAGGTGCTATTCATTGTCACCAATGTGACAGTGTGACTTAGACTGAGAGGGAGCAGTGGGGACAGAAGAAACACCCAGAAACAATATATTTTTGATAGAATAAAAAGACTTCCTGAAATGATTTTTAAAAAGGCAGCTATCAGCCTTCCCTTCCTTTTCCGCACTCCTCAAGGTATAATTGTGGGCCCCAAGTAAGTCAGGGACCATGGCATGTAATCATACTTCAGGGTTTTGTAGTTTAGATGTCCCTTGGCTATGTAGCAGTGATGGAGAACAACTGGTCCTCCATCTTTTGTTAAACTGCAATTCCCATCATTCTCCATGATTGCTGTAGCAAACTGAAGCTGATGTAAGTTGCATGCCTACGACATCTGTACAACCACACATTTCCTACAACATGAGATTTGTTGTATCTATCAATACTCAGTGCATGATGATGAATTAATGAAGGTAGATAAGAAAACAAATAATATTCCTGAGAAATTTATATGTGGGACAGGAAGCAACAGTTAGAACCGGATATGGGAGCACTGTTTGGTTCAAAATTGGGAAAGGAGTTCAACAAGGCTGTATATTGTCCCCCGGCTTATTTAACTTATGTACAGAATACATCATGCGAAAGGCTGGACTGGAGGAACCACAAGCCGGAATCAAGATTGCCGGAAGAAATATCAACAACCTCAGATATGCAGATGATACCACTCTGATGGCAGAAAGTGAGGAGGAGTTAAAGCACCTCGTAATGGTGTTGAACTGTGACTTTCAGACTTAAGGGGTAAACTTTTTGCAAACATCTTTCTTTGGTCTATGTATGAAGGGGAATTTGAGGGCTATACAAATGAGTAGAGAGCAACATGCAGTTTATGGGTCATATCATTCCCATATGGTGCAATCTTAGGACTAGCAATGGAGGAAGCACTAGGCAAGGAATCTTTTTATCAGTCATAGGGGTGAAAAGGGGGATTACAAAGTTTGCAGGTAGCAGGTGGCTAGAAAGTCTTTTTATGTGAGCAGAGGAAAGAAATCTGCAGTAACTAGCTCTGTGGCTTAGACCTGTAGTTATGTAGCTGGACTTGATGATCCATAGGGTTCCTTTCAGCTCTGCAGTTCAAAAGTGGTTGTTGTTCAGAAATACCAGGCATAATCAATCAAAATTGTAAAAACATTGACTGGTATTGTACTGTATAACAGACACATATTTTAACCAAAAACCTAAATATCTGTTAAATATCCACACAGTGTTTGTGCTTTCCCTAATACTGCTGTTCTTTGGAGCTCTGATGGTGTTATTTCTGAAATCTGTAACTGCTTATAATGCTGTATAAATTTTCTTGATAATGTTCTCAAAGCCCTGATGACTCCATGGGCCACTGAAGTGTGTTTCATCCACAAGCGAGATGCTTCGATTACCAGATCTCTGTACTGTATTTTGTTAGTTTTTTCAATAATTTATTTTCAAATCTGGCATCCCTTGGAAGTACAATGTCACTGGTCCAGCCATTTCTTCATTCTGTTATTACTATGTCTGGTGTCTTATGTTCAAGGTGTATATCAGTTTGGATTCAGAAATCCCACAAGACCTTGACTTTGTCATTTTCTGATACCTTCTTTACCTGATGTTCCAATGGGTATTTGGAGGCTGGCAAGTTACATTTGTATATAATGTCCAGTGCACTAATTTTGCCACTTTGTCATGTCTAATTTTGTAATCTGTTTGTGCAATCTTTAGACATGCACAGATGAGGTGTGTGACACGGTTTCATCTTTTTCTTGACAGGGTCGACATTTGCTGTTAGTGCTAATTCCTTTCAACATTGGTTTAGAGTGCTTGTTCTTGTGCAGAAAAAATTAAGCCTTCAGTTTCTTTTTTAATGGTCCTCAGTTTTAGCCATGCCCATGTGAATTATGATCATGCTTTCCATCAATATTTCTCAGGTGATGTCTATGTAATGTTTTTTTTCCAACAGTTTAATTTATTTTCCAATTGTTGTTCATTATATTGAACCTTTGTTTGCTGTTTTCAAAATATTTTCCATTTTTACCGCCTTGAGTATTTTTTTCTCTGCTTGTACTAATATAGCCTTGAGTATTTTTCTCTCTGCTTGTACTAATACTGTATAATCATTTAGGCTTCTTCCTTCCCCCATTACTTGCTATATTTGCAGTAAGTCACAGCCTCCAATTTTTCCAATACAGTGGTGCCTCGACTTACGAACATCCCTAGTTGCGAAAATTTCGAGATATGAAAAGCTCCGGCCGCAAAATATTGCTTCAACTTGCGACCGGAGCTTCAAGTTACGGTAAAAAAAATGCGGGGGAGGCGGGGAAAGTGCGAAATTTGAACTTTTAGTTGACTGTTGGCCAGCAAAGAGGCTACCTCATTCACCCCAGCGGTTAGAGAGTGGATAGGAAGAGAATCTTCAGACTGCCTGGTACTGTACTGTACGGACTGTTTTTTTTTTTTTTTTTTGATTTTTTGATTTTTGACTTTTTAAAAAAACAGGGACTGCCTGTTCTGGGTGAGTACATACACTGTACAGTATTTACTGTACTGTACAGGTTTTTTTTGCAGCATGGTGGGGCTAGGGCTAGATGGGGGTTATGTTTTTGTGTTCTGATGGATCTTGTAGTATGGATTTAAAATGTGAAAAGTACACTGTAATATTAAATTAAAATTAAATGTGAAAATTAGACTGTACAGTAATTTTAAAATGTAAAATGTATTTATTTATTTTTTGCATTCTGTGTCTTCTAGGGTTTGTGTACTGTGACCTCTCTGTTGTTTTAAAATGTGTGGGT